ATTTTTAATTTTTAACGGGCCTTGAATATATGTAGCTTTTTATGCATCCATTTACCACCAAGAGGTTGCAGAAATAGCCAGTATGTCCGTTTATTTCCTAACATACCTTCTTCTTTTTCTTTTTCTTTGTCTACTACGCGCTGTAAACTCCGGCGAATAGTTTTGCTTGCTCCTCCACTTCTTGACTTTGATTTTGCTTCAGTACCAGTACATCCTCTTTACAGATGTTGTTCGTCTATCACAGGTGATGAAGGCCACTTCTCATCCAAAGTAGTAATGATCAATGATTGTGAGTATGAAGGTGGCTGAATAATCTAATATGAGCAAGGAAAGTTCTTGAGCAGTGCAGACAACAGGTGGAAGCCGCAGTAAGTGTGGGATTATCAGTACGATTCTTTTCAGTCTGCCTCCGTTTCTCTGCCTGTACAACCTCCGCTGCCTGGCAGGCTGATGCACCATGCCTGACAGATATAAGCTATCCATAACGGTCTTGTGCAGCAGCCTCCCACGTCGCTGTGTTGATGCCAGAATAATTGAGAGTAGTCTTCAGAGTGTCCTTATAGAGCTTTTTCTGTCCTCCCTGGGACATCTTCCGTTGCTGGAGCTCGCCATAAAATACTCTCTTTGGAAGGCTAAGTTCTGGTCATTCTCTTTACAGATATGGCTTAACTGGCACTCATTATAACCTCTCAGGCACATTCACTCCGACTTCGAAGGAAACATCCATAATTAATCGACTCTTAAGACATGCTTGTCAGGCAGGGAACAGTAGATTTTTTCCTTTGTCCCACTAGAAGCCACGAAATCCACAGGGAGAGCTGGCCTGTTGAAACCTCTTCAGTATGAATATGCATTTTTTGTATTTAAAAGTCCATGACTTTTTAATTAAAGGGGTCACGTATGCATATATTACCCACCCTCTGGCAACCAAACGTACGAAGCGAAGCAGAACACTGCTGTATGCATAAGATGATACATATTCAATAGAAATTGATTTATGCCGCACAAACTCCTGACGCCTGGTCGATCATTACGTCCACGAATGAAGCTTTCGCACTAGTGTTTGACTGACTGACCTTGCTAGTTTTGGCGGATTGGATAGCGGGCAGCACTTTGAATGTATGCGGAAAAGGAGTTTATACGAACACACAAAAGGTGCATTTTAGGATATCATTGGCGGGAGAGGGAGGGGGAATTCACTCACTACCCCAACAGGCAATAGTAAAAAGCAAGTATTTCATTCAAAGTATGAGTGCAGTTAGAGAAAGGCCAATGCATCTGTTCACTAGATACTTTCTTTGAAGTCGGAGTGAATATGCCTGAGAGCAAAGAACAAACAGTCTGCATGCAGACACACCGACAACGTTGACGAAGCCTGGTCAAAATCGCTATATCAGCTGAGGACCTTATGGTAGAACTACAGCGATGAAAGCTACTAAAACAGCACGAAGAACTGGTACAGAAACATCATCATGAATAGCTACGAAGGCAGCTCAGTCATTGACAGTAACACCACCAACAGATGGTACAACAAGGAACACATCACCTAATCTGATCCAAGCCCGCACAAGCAGGCGGACATGACCTGGCCGGCCAGATAGACATGGAAGGCATACAATACTAGAACCAAACACTATGCAACGAAAGAGCAACACAATTTGCTACCATAATTATAACCGATATTGACATGGACGAGGCTCTTCCCTGGTCAGAGGTTGAGCGTGGCTATATGAAATCGATTGAACGAATTGAAACAGTCTGCATTAAAAAAAACACAGCGGTTTTTTCGTAATAAGTCACCCCAGATGACGTCACGGGAACAGTCCAATATTTTATGGGTGATACGGCCGAGTTTTCCAGCTTTGTGGTGCTTTTAACTACCCCAAAACATCTCGAACTGGACTAAACTCCAACCCACCTACGTCCCATGAGAGAGTGTAGCCTAGGTCCCACGATTGCATGCAGCCTAGGTCCCACGACTGCAAGCAGTCTATCCACCATCCCCTGAAATATCAGACTGTCTGTTTTGGGTGAATAAAAATGAAAGCACCGCCACAACTGTAGATCGGATGTAAGCAGGAAAATACCCCCCTTCCTCTTGACGTTCACCAAATGTATATTCCAGCAGAAATGTCTGGTTGTTCGTCCACTTCTGACCTTTAGTCTTGTTTGAGGACCACTTTTATGTGCACATCCATTTTACACAACTGGCTTATTGTTGGTTCATCGCCTGTTGAATGCACACCAACTTCTTCTTCTTCTTCGTGTTCATCGCCTGTTGAATGCACACCAACTTCTTCTTCTTCGTGTTCATCGACTGTAAACTGCGGCGGAAGGTTCTGGTTGTCGTCCACTTCTGGACTCCAGCTCGGTTCCATAACCTGAGTGTTGCGTGTACATCCTTTTTACACATCTGTTATTGCTGGTTCACTGCCTGTTAGATGCCCTCCGAATTCGAAGGAACAGCCTAATTAGTCAACTATTATGACATGCTCGTTGGTGGATGCTGTTGGTCTTGTTTTTTTTTTTTTTAATGGTGCCTGCCTAGTCGAAGTGCTTTTCTTCACTGGTGGCTATTTTGTCTTGGCCATAGTAAAATCAGTCTTATTATTTATTTGCCTGACTATATGTGTAGTCAACAATGATGACTCATTCCTCACGATATTAAACATGAAGTGGATAGCAGAAAACAAAGTTACCAGAGGAATTATTGTGTATGATTCTCAGTTGGCATTGCGGAAGGTTCAAAATGGACTAATTTGGCATGAGTGGATACCATACATCAGTACGCCAAAATTGCAGGGAAACATGTGGATATACTGTCCGGGATATGCAGGAGTGCGAGGGAATGAAAGAGCGGATTTTCTGGCTACAAAAGCGAAACTACGGGAACACTCGTACTGGACAATGGTAGATGAAATAACATGGACAAGAATGTGTGAGCGAGGAATTAATTGTGGATCCAGCAAGGAGGGACGGATGAGAGGAAGAGATCGGCGTCTGTACAATCAAGGTACTACGGGAGAAGTTAGAATCTACACCTTACGTCATTTGCTGCGGGAGACGGAGCATCTATGGGTATGCCCGGTGTGCTATGATGTCGATTCTTAAATCAGTAAATCAGATATTAAATATAAAAAAGTGAGCTGGCTTCTTCTTCTTCTCTTCCACCTTGTACCTCATCGAAGTGTTCGTTGATGAGCTCTGTCAAGAGCACTATTAAGACTGATGTTCATTCCTGTAAGGCTGTTCTTAATGCCTTCACTCCATATTTTCCGAGGTCTTCCACTCGCTTTATACCCGTTGTACCGTTTTAGTGTGGCTCGCTGTGGCAGATAGTACCAGGGCATTCTTGTTAGGTGTCCAAACCATTTCATTTGTTGTTCTTTGATGACCTGTAAGACTGGCTTTATTCCTAGCATTCGTCTGATTTCATGATTTTGTATTCTGTCTTTCCTTGAAACTCCTGCAGCTCTTCTAAGGCATTTCATCTCTGTTGTCACAATTTTACGTTCATTGGAGGATGTAAGTGTCCACGTTTGGCACTGATAGCATAATATTGGCCAAAAAATAATGAGCTGGCAAAGGCTCAAAATTCATTCCGGTTAGGCAATGATGAAAATGACGTACTGCAAAATATCTTACTGGAGGAAGTGGAGGGAATAAATGCTCTATTGAAAATACAGCATCTTACGTGGGTTTACTCCCTTTCGTTGTTTGGTTCTTTTCAGGTTAAAGTTCAACTTGATGGCATTAAACACTGCGACCGAGGCATTGACCGCATGTCACGTGCGATCTGTTAGAGGCATCTCACGCTTGCCAAGTGTCTAGGGTAGTGGCTCTCAACCTACCTAATGCCGCGACCCTTTAATACAGTTAATCTATGTTGTGGCGACCCCCAAACAATTATTTTCCTTCATAACTTCAATGAATATGTTTCTTTCCAATTGTCTAAGGCGACCCCTGGGAAAGGGTTGTTCGATGCAAAATTAATAAACAAGACAAAAAATTTTATGAGGCCTCGGAGATGTGGTTTTACGGAAGAATCCTTAGAAATACCAGGACGGGGATTTGGGGGGGGGGGAGGGGGGGGGGGGCGCAACCAGATGTTTTCAAGAAGATTTTTCCATCACACATATGTAACTTTACAAACTGAGGTCACCTAGCTCAATTTCACTGTTATCCTTTGGATATTTTCTCCAGGTCATGCAATTGTGGTGAGAAATAAGCAGGCAGATAGACTGGCCGGTTCTGCACCACTTGGTGGCGAACTGATGTATGACAAGCTGGATGTTGGGAAGGCCCTTTAGGAGCGAGTGAACAGTGCCGGGGAACAATCTCTTATGAACAGATGCAGAGAATAATCAAATCAATCACAAAGACACCAAAACCGGCACAAGATAGACCAGAGCAAGTCATTATCCTACGCCTTAGAACATGTATACAACATTTAAGATTGCGAATCAGCCGCGCGTACATGTGGATTGGCACCGGAGACAACATATCACATCCTCCAAGACTATTCCAAATATAACACATAAAGGCAAAACTTCTGGCCAAGAGAGACACTGGTGCAAGCCAAACTTTACGGGTCGCTGAGTAAATTACAAGTGAAGTTCATACTAGAGATATCGATAATCTATTTCAAGCGAACGACAGAAGAAGAAGGAGAAGAAGAAGAAGAAGAAAAAGAAGAAGAAGAAGAAAAAGAAGAAGAAAAACATGAAGAAGAAATTAGGTTTGCTACTACTTCACTACCTTACTGAGGCGACACCTGACTTTGTACTCAAGCTCAACATTGATTTTTCCCCCGCCAAACGAACGAGACGTTTCACAAGAAGAGACCCTTCTTCTCGACATAACCGTTTATTCCAAACACAGATCTATAGTTTTGTTCTTTATCCATATTTCCCAATCAATACCCAACAATAAAGCCTCGTATGCTTCATCGCGACCCTCAATGACTTCCACTCGGCGCATGCGCGAATATCTAATCCAAGATGGCGGAGGAAGCGGTGGCAGACGAGAGCGATCTGTTCAACCCCTTGGACTGGAAGCCTGTCTCTTTCACGCATGTAGAGTTTCCTAAAGGTAATTCTTACAGCTATCATCTTCTACAGCCGGATCACTCACTCACACCTGAATGATTTAATAATTGTGTGTGTTAAGAGAGGAACGGAAAGAAAAGTTCTCCTGATTCTTCTATCTCTCTTTCTATTTCTACCATTGGCTGGCATTGTTGATTTTCATATTTTCTGTTGTGTTGTTAGTTTAGGTAATAAAATTTAGCACCTCCTCAGGAGGCTCCTGCATACTCAGACAGTGAACTGAGTACTGATTTTAATTTGTTGAAATTTCAAGATCTTATAATCAAGTTATGTCGTCAGTTTTTATATCCTTTGAGGTTGTGTTCATATGTGACCGGAGCCGATTTTAAATATATTGGCTCTCCTGTCAACTCAGGCCGTTAGCTGGAATGCCGCCGATCGCTTAGTGGAAGTTCTCAGTTCTCTCCCCTGGCTGCATTGCAGACACGGAGCGGAAAAGTCACGAATCAAATGATATACTTACCTATCATCATACGGTTGCGTGTACGGTTGCATAGTCATCATACGGTTGCGTAGGGTTTGGATTAGGGTTAGGGATAGGGTTAGCGGCGTTAGGGGTTGGGTTAGGGTTTGAGTTAGGGATAGGCTAGGGGTAGGGTTAGATGTGACAATTTTGACGTAGGAGTTCTATATACTGGCCGACAATATGATGCTTTTGGGAGTGGCGACACTGGAATTCTCCCAAATATGACGGCAATAGCGCACGGCTGGTGGCGAATTGTCCGTTTGAGTAGCATCCACAGTCCTTCGATTGTTTGGGTGTGAATGTGACTGTGCGCGATTATTCGGAACTCCTGCGTCAAAAGTGTCACATCTAACCCTAACCCTACCCCTAACCACGCAAATTTATCGGTCAGTGAGTGAGACTGATCTGCAGGAGTCACATCCGTGGCAACTAATACCACGTTTATATATATAAGGATATATTTACTTTAAAAAAAAACCCAGATTTCCCCGAAGCGTCAAATGAACACCCAGATCTGGGGGAAACACCCAAGCATTGGCAGCCCTGTTGCCGACCTCACTGTCTTTTTTTATTCATGACTTTTCCGCTCTGTGTTTGCAATGCAGCCAAGGGAGAGAACTCCCACTAAGCGATCGGCGGCTTTCCAGCTAACGGCCTGAGTTGACAGGAGAGCCAATATATTAGACTATTAGTATTAGTAGTAATACAAATACTAGTAGTAATGAAATGAATTTGAATAGTAACATTAACATAGACATACATTGTAAATATCACCATTCATATATGTCGTTAAAGTGTAGGGGAGTTTGGTCATTGCTGGTTGTGTATGTATAGAAAGGTTGGCGACCTCAGTACCTCATCTTCTCCTTAAGTTCTAAAGCTGCCGTTCTACCTTATCTGAATCCCCAAAACAGGCATGCCGTAAATTAGAAGTTAATTAGAATCTGATGTGTTGGACTGAAAGAGGCAGGATATCACAGCCTTGTAACACTACAGCATAATGTGCCAGCCATCCTTTAAATGTGATGCAGAAGGAGACATTTAGGCCACATTCAACTAAATAAATTTTACATCAACCATGACGGGGAAGTCGACGGCAATGAACCTGGGGTACAGTATGTAACGACATAAATGGACAAATGACATGTTTAAGAAATGGATCAATGACAGATCAAGAGAATTTAAAAGCAGGGTGAGATATAGTTCTTTAGAAAATCATTGCAACCAACATTCATCGTGGAAATGGCACCTGACTGAGTCATGTACAAAGCTGAAGTGCCTTTTGTTTTTGATTATTGATTAGAAGATGCACCACGAAAACTAATGGTTTGACAGAGCGGCACGTGCATTATTTATTAATGGTGACATTTTGAATGCCATAGCAATTGGATAGTGTATCCCAGGCAGTTTATGATATTTTCCCCTGCGTTTTTTATATGACACTTTGTTGAGGGAATGGTTGCTCAATTCATCTTTTTGCTTTTCTTCTAACCTAACGGTTGCCAAATTGCTTCAGATTGTGACCCCATGTCATAGAGGCAAAATCACCTACGGCCTCATACATTATTCTTCCTTGTTCACCAGCTGTAAGCTTTGGCGGAAAGTCCTGACTGTTCGCCCATTTGGAGTTTGGCTTTGTTGCACAACCTGAGTTTTGTGTGTGCATCCGTTTTATAGATTTTGCGTATTTGTTTGTATGCAGGCTGTTGGTTCCCTGTCTCTTAGGCAAATACACTCTGACTTTGAAGGGAGCCCACAGTTAGCTGAATCTTACAACATTGTTGTTGGAGAGGCAGTCGGTTTATTCTTGTTTCCCCCACAATGAAACCCTGGAAGCCACACGGGGAACTAAAGGGGTGAAACCTATAGAAATTAATCACTGAATGAGGTTCCAGAGCAGTGATGCATGCCTTTCGGTCCAGCAAATGGATTAGGAAGTTTCAAAGTCAGAAAACTGAGCTGTGTGTAAACTTATTTCTCTCTAACCTACTTACTTCCGTATTTTATATTCCACCTGATTGCTTTCTTTTATGTTTTATGAATTACCTAATTTCCCCTAACCTGCTTACCTCCATGTTTTATATTCCACCTGGTTTCTCTCTAACCTGCTTACTTCTATGTTTTATAATTCCCTTGGTTTCTCTCTAATCTGCTTACTTCCATGTTTTATAGTTCATTTGATTTCTCTCTAATCTGCTTACTTCCATGTTTTATAGTTCATTTGATTTCTCTCTAATCTGCTTACTTCCATGTTTTATAATACCCCTGATTTCTCTCTAATCTGCTTACTTCCATGTTTTATAGTTCATTTGATTTCTCTCTAATCTCCTTACTTCAATATTTTATTTCACCTAATTTCCCCTAACCTGCTTATCTCCGTGTTTTTGATTCACCTAATTTCCCCTAACCTGCTTATCTCTGTGTTTTTGATTCACCTGATTTCCCCTAACCTGCTTATCTTTGTGTTTTTGATTCACCTGATTTCTGTAATGACTTGTCTTTTTGCAGGTGATTTTGTTGGCTTCATCCTGGCCTGGGTTAGCTTGTCACCATTTATTTTGATCATCAGTTTTATGACGCTGATTGTCTTTAGGAGGGACCTACATACAGTGAGTATTTCTTCTTCTTCTTTGCGTTCACCAACTGTACACTCTGGCGGAAAGTTCTGGTTGTTCATCCACTTCTGAACTGCAGTCCTACTCCAGAACCTGAGTGTTTCGTGTGCATCAGTTTTACAGATCTGATTCACTTGAACTAGACTGTTGGTTCCTTGTCTCTCAGGCAGATGCACTCCGACTTTTAAGGAAGCTCCCATAATTAGTCGACTCTTACGACATGCTTTTGGGTAGGCAGAGGGTCTATTCTTGTTTTCCCCATGATGGGGCCCCGGAACCCACACGGGGAACAGTGAGTATTTATGTGTGGCTCTTTGTGTGGGTTCTGAGACCCCATTTCTTTGGAAACATGAAACAAGACCTACTAGCTCCATAACAAGCGTTTTGTAAGGTAATAAAAAGCTTGGGAAAATTCTATCTTTTGAAAAAAATTTCTGACTTCTGGGCAGAAAAATCTGACATCTGGGGAGAAAATTCCGACTTCTGGTAAAAGAATTTCCGACATCTGGGGGGGGGGGGGGGGGGGGGGGGGTGGGGGGGGGGGGGGGGGGGGGGGGGGGAGGGGGGGGGATTCGGCATCTTGGGGGGGGGGGGGTACCACCATCTTGGGAAAAAAGATTTGAAAAATTCTAACTTTTGAAAAAATTCTGATTTCCAGGCAGAAAAACATCTGATATCTGGGGAGAAAATTCCGACTTCTGGGGAAAAGAAAACTTGGGAAAAATTCTGACTTCTGGGGGGAAAAAAAGTTGGGAAAAATTCTGACTTCTTGTAACAAATTCTTGGGAAAAAAACATTCTTGAGAAAAAATTCCAAAACGAGATTTATTTTTTGGAACAATTCGCCAATTTGGGAAAAATTTCCTAAGAAAAAAATCGTGATCCAGATTTTTGACCCCTTGAACTTCCGGAGGAGGCCCCAGGCAGCCAGTGTCCAGTATACTTAATTTGTACTATCCAGTATCTAAGAAAGGTGGCTGGATACCCACACCAGATTTTCTCCCCAAGACTCACTTCATCGCCTCTCTAGAGAGGGACAGTGTATTATATTCAGACTATGGACTGGGCACAACCGATTTTGTCAACATAGTTCAAATTTTTCGGTGTAGGAAATACGGAGACGTGTCCCTGCAGCGTGGCACCCGAAAATGCTGAGCATGTGCTCCAACACTGTCAACTGTATGCTGACAACAGAGACGCAACCTGGCCTGTTTCAACCACAATGAAGACAAAACTGTATGGTACACGAGAGGATATGGACTGCACAATAGCTTTCATAAAGGCTACCGGTCTCCTGATATAAGTTTTCTGACAGAAGGATCGAAGAAGACATTCAGTGTGACCTGATTGTTACGTTATGTTATCACAATCAATATGGATCGCTTATGGGAATGCCCTGAGTGCTGTGTTGTCAGCTCCAAGGTGCCTCTGCTGATTGCTCCCATGAGGAGCTGGTTATAATGTCTCCTGCCTTGGTCTCGAAGATGTTACAGACATACTTCATCAGTCTTTATTCCTAGGTCATGTAATCACGTTAGCATCAGATTCATCTTTATCCACCAGTCTAGTCTGTACAGTGTTGATAATATCAGCTGTGTCCAGGCTTCTTCCTGTGTGCATTGGTACATTACTTGCCAGCTGGTTCGCTCAATCATGACCTTTTACCTTGATTAATTAGGGGTCTGCTGCAATTAGATGTGTTGGGCTGTAAGGATAACACAGTCTAGCTGTAAACCACAACACAGTGTGCCAACTGCCCTTTTAAAGGTGAACTCAGGAGAAGAAGGACGTCCAACAAACCAGCTCTTCCCTCCATGACAGTGAATTTCCTCTACTCACCACTGATTCCCGTTCTGACCTAGTCAGTCAAACTGGTCATAAGTCCAATTTATATTTTTCCAAAGCATTTTAATTCAAAAAAATTGTACATAAACACAACAATTTAGTCTGTGTGCATATTGTTCGACCCTGCTGCGCCTTAGGCATTAAGTATTTCCATGTGGATTCAGTCCTCTGTTGCAGCAACCACTCCAAGATACTTCTACTAATTGTTCCCATGAGAGATTGGTTATAATGTCTCCTATCTCTGCCCCGAAGGCAGCATAGTCATGCTTCACCATGCTTTACTCACATGTCACGCAATCGTATTAGTGTCAGATTTGTCATTATCCACTAGCCCAATCCGTGCAGTGTTAATGATATCTGTTCTGTCCATGTTTTTCCCCACATGCATTGCTTGCCATTTGCTCATTATCCTTTACGTCAGCACGACCGGATGTATAGATCAAGGAGAAGGAGGTTAAGAATGATTGTCGAATGCTTTCTACCTATTCAGAATGCATACGGTCTGTTCCTATCTTCTGAAGCATGTTCATAGAGTCTAATTCAATTACTGCATGTTGCCCATGCTGGTGTTTTAGAAGCAGCAATTATTTTTTGTGTGGCCGTAAGTGCGTATGATTGTAAGTTACATAGGTCGTAAGTTGAGGAGAAGATGTATTGCATAATGCCTAATGATAGCTGTAGTGGTATCCACCAGTGTTTGCTGAAGTCGGCGGGCAGGTCTCACATTGTCTACTGATGTGATTGATTTATAACAGTTATTTGATCCAGAGACCAGATGTCAGAACCCATGGGAAAGTGCATGTTCACATATCTCTGATGAACGCTTTAGCATAGAGCCCAGAATGAATGTTTGGGCACCTTTGAAACGATTGAAATATCATATGCGAGGGAAAGTAAATAAGTAAGTCACAAATGGTTATGGGATGGCAGGAAAATGTAGTTGGTGGTTTCTAAAGGTGTCATTAGGTGACAGTAACATCAAACTTTATGTCTCCGGTCGTGTTAGATGGCGATATGTGTTGCTTGTGCGTTTGTAACACAGAAACAAAATGGCGACTGTACTTACGGAGTGTACCCTCAAAGAACAACGTGCTGTTGTACATTTTAACTAAAAAGGCTGCCTGCAAAGGACTTTCAAAAGGAAATGCTTCTTGTTTATGCTGACAAATGTAAGCAGTGCATAGCTAGGTGAAAAAAATTTTCAAGGGCACTCAAACATTTTTAGCCAAGTCCAATCTGGTAGTCCTGTTCAGATTGCAACTGATGCATCTGTGCAGTGGGTGGAGGAGATGATTAGATGTGACAGACTAGTAACGATTGACTCTGTAGCAGCTGCAGTAGGGTGCTCACATGGTTCAATATAAAACATAATGCATGCTCGGTTGAAATTTAATAAAGCGGGCTCAAGGTGGGTACCCGGACATTTAACAAGCAAACACAAAATGAACTGAATAGGCATGTCCTTGGAGCATCTGTGTTGATATGCACATCAAGAAGAAGACATGCTGAACAGGATTATTGCTGGGGACGAATCAGGGATGCATCACTACCAGCCTGAATCAAAGCGTGCTTCAAAGAAATAGAAACATGTTTCTTCCCTTTGCGTTTAAAAGGTTGCGCCATCAGCAGGGAAGGTTTTGCTGACAGTGTTCTGTGATTGTCAAGGAGTGCTTTTAACCAATTTCAAAACAAAGAGGTGACAGTGTAAATGCTAATTCATTCTGTGAGGTTCTATCGATGCTTCATGATGCAGTTCGAAGCAAACATCCAGGCCTGCTGACTAGATGAGTACTGCTCCTTCATGACAATGCCAGACCACATATGGCTCGGTTAACTCTGGAGAAGATCAACCATCTAGGGTGGGAACTTTCAGAATATCCACCTTACAGCTCCGACTTAGCCCCTAGCGATTTCCACGTATTTTGCTCCCTTCTTCTTGTGTTTGCTTTCTGATTGACACCGACAGACAGGTTCTTGTGATAAACTTGACTGTTTTTATGAGTTCCTTTTTAGTGTCATACAACTTTGCGTGCAGTGGTGACTCACTGGGCCAGTATTCCCTTCTTAATGGGCGGAACAAAGGACAGTATTGCAGGATATGTTCTTTAGTCTTTGCTCCCTGAACCTGAGCATTGCAAGCACATCCGTTTTAAAGATCTGACATATGTGTGTGCAGATTGTTGGTTCCTTGCCTCTCGGACAGATGCACTCTGACTTCAAAAGAATTTGTCTTGGTTGTTATGCCTCTAATTTTTTTTAGAGAAAGAATTATATAAGTATTTAGTCGGCAGTAAAATTGTTTAAATCTTTCATGTGTCCAATTGGTTTGTCTTCGTTGTTACTCCAAGATGGCTTTTCTGGTTGGCCTGGGTCTGGACGAGATCCTGAACCTTCTCATTAAACATGCCATCAGGGAACCCAGGCCGCTTCGAGGTAGGTCCCTGCATCTGTGTTTTTCTTAGTTAAATTTTACAGTGTGTTGTCTTATTGTTGTCATTGTCACCATTGTTACTATCATCATCACACCACCATTATTACCACCATCATTATCATCATTCCGTGTGTGGGTTCTGGGGCCCTACTTTAGGGAAAACAAGAATAGACCTACTGCCTACTCAAAAGCATGTCGTAAGAGTCGACTAATTGGGAGCTTCGTTCAAAGTCGGAGTTCATCTGCCTGAGAGGCAAGGAACCAGCAGTCTGCATACAAACGAGTCAGATCTGTAAAACGGATGCACACTCAACACTCGGGTTCTGGAACAGGACTGCAATCCAGAAGTGGATGAACAGCCAGACCTTACCGCCAGAGTTTACAGTTGGTGAGCCCAAGAAGAAGAAGATTATCATCATCGCCACCACCATCATCATCACCACCATTACCATCTTTATCATCATCATCATAATTATCATCATTATTGCCATCATTATCATCATAACAATCATTATTATGGTCATCATCACCATCATAATCATCATCATTATTGCCATCATTATCATCATCATCATTATCATCATCACCATCATTATCGTCATAGCCATCCTTATTATGATCATGATCACCATCATTATCGTCATAGCCATACTTATTATGATCATCATCACCATCATTATCGTCATAGCCACATTTATTATGATCATCATCACCATCATTATCGTCATAGCCATACTTATTATGATCATCTTCACCATCATTATCGCCATAGCCATACTTATTATGATCATCATCACCATCATAATCATCATCATTATTGCCATCATTATCATCATCACCATCATTATCATCATCACCATCATTATCGTCATCACCATCATTATCATCATCACCATCATTATCGTCATAGCCATCCTTATTATGATCATCATCACCATCATTATCGTCATAGCCATCCTTATTATGATCATCATCACCACCATCATTATCATAACCATCATTATCGTCATCACCATCATTATCATCATCACCATCATTATCGTCATCACCATCATTATCATCATCACCATCATTATTGTCATCACCATCATTATCGTCATCACCATCATTATCATTATTCTGATCATCATCACCATCATTTGTTTTTATCTAAAAAGGTGGTTGGCACATTGTGTTATTTACAGCTAGACTGCAATATGTACTTCTTTCTTCTCTACTCTTATGATTTCAGAACACCCTTAATTAGTTAACTTTTAAACATGCTTGTTAGGGGACTGAATCTCTTGAGCACCCCCCCCCTCCCCCCACCACCACTTCTCATCGAGGCCCCGGAACCCACATGGGAAGTTGGCTGATATAAGAACTAAATGACGCACAAAGAATTAAGAACAGCACATCATACAGTGCATTGCTGGAAAGGCTAACCCAGGAAACAAATTCCTGCTGAAGTCGGAAGTTTCGGACGAAAGGCGCATCCTATCGCAGCCATGTTGTAAACCGGCACAACACATTGACATCTTCAGATGAACGCAGAAGAAGAAGAAGATATACTTCATTGTCAGTTAATGTATGCTTGGTTCCTTGCCTCTCATGCAGATTACTCCGACTTTGAAGGATGCACCCAATTAGTCGACTCCTACTATAAGCTTGTTTGGAAGGCAGTGGGGGTCTGTCTTTGTTCTCCCTACAGTGGGGCCCCATGCATCCGCACAGGGATCTCAATACTCTTAAGGCCAGGAAAAAGTGTTCTTTTGTCTACTGTACTAGTGGATCGAGGTTAATCAATTAATTGTGTTTGGCTTGCAAGGTTAGGTAACTCTGCATCATTGGGATACAAATAGCAGACTCGATGAAGACATTTGCCATTGATACCTGGAGCAGAAAGCAGCTGATCTATGTTGTAGACAGCTGCTTTATTCCGCTACAGGGGAAATCAATATCTGGGCTGGGTTGTGGTGTTGACATAGTTTCCACTTACCAGCTGTGTGTGTATGTGCAGGGACTACTTGCAGAAGTATAATTGGGAGGGGAGGGGGGGGGGCGGAGTGTTGTCCCTGCTGACAAAATGGCATGAATATGTGTTTTAACATACAGAATATGTGTGATTGTAGGAGGGAAAAGGTGTGGTGGTGTTTACATTTTTTTTACTGCACCGGGTGCTGCCTGACATTGCAGTGCCACTGCCTACATGCACGTATTTTATATAGGTCACTTTTGTGTGTCTCTTTTATACAGGTCTCTTTTGTACAGGCCTTTTTTGTATTGTTATGGTTTGTGTAGGTCTCTCTTGTTTAGGTATCTTTTGTTTGGGTATCTCTAGTTATCTTTTTTTGGATCTCTCTTGTTTAGGTATCTTTTGTTTGGGTCTCTCATGTTTAGGTATCTTTTGTTTGGGTATCTCTAGTTATCTTTTTTTGGATCTCTCTTGTTTAGGTATCTTTTGTTTGGGTCTCTCTTGTTTAGGTATCTTTTGTTTGGGTCTCTCTTGTTTAGGTATCTTTTGTTTGGGTCTCTTTTGTTTAGGTATCTTTTGTTTGGGTCTCTCTTGTTTAGGTATCTTTTGTTTGGGTCTCTTTTGTTTAGGTATCTTTTGTTTGGGTCTCTCTTGTTAAGGTATCTTTTGTTTGGGTCTCTCTTGTTTAGGTATCTTTTGTTTAGGTATCTTTTGTTTGGGTCTCTCTTGTTTAGGTATCTTTTGTTTGGGTCTCTCTTGTTTGTGTACCTTTTGTTTGGGTTTTTCTTGTTTAGGTATCTTTTGTTTGGGTTTCTCTTGTTTAGGTATCTTTTGTTTGGGTCTCTCTTGTTTAGGTATCTTTTGTTTGGGTCTCTCTTGTTTGTGTACCTTTTGTTTGGGTCTCTCTTGTTTGGGTACCTTTTGTTTGGGTCTCTCTTGTTTGTGTACCTTTTGTTTGGGTCTCTCTTGTTTGTGTATCTTTTGATTTGGTCTCTCTTGTTTAGGTATCTTTTGTTTGGGTCTCTCTTGTTTAGGTATCTTTTGTTTGGGTCTCTCTTGTTTAGGTATCCTTTGTTTGGGTCTCTCTTGTTTAGGTATCTTTTGTTTGGGTCTCTCTTGTTTAGGTATCTTTTGTTTGGGTCTCTCTTGTTTAGGTATCTTTTGTTTGGGTTTTTCTTGTTTAGGTATCTTTTGTTTGGGTTTCTCTTGTTTAGATATCTTTTGTTTGGGTCTCTCTGGTTTAGGTCTCTTTTATGTAGGTCTTTCTTTTTTAATGTCTCTTTTAAATCACTCTTTTGTGTAGGTTCCTGCAGGGGCTCACAGTTTTTCATGACCACTACAATTTGGAGTCAGTCTTGCTTATAGTGGGTTTTCAGGGTTGTCTTTGGGCATTAACATGTAGTAGTTTTGCTTATAGTATGTTTTCAGGGTTCTCTTTGGGGATTAACATGTAGTAGTTTTGCTTAAAGTGGGTTTTCAGGGTTGTCTTTGGGCATTAACATGTAGTTAGCTTGATTATATCCCCACAGTCTGTTTTTGTAGTTGGTTCTCTGATGTTTATTGATTATTCCTTTCTTACTGTTTCTGTGTCTCCTTTCGTTTCTGCATCTTTCTCTCCCTTCCTCCCCCTTTCTGTGCATCCCCCTTCCTTCTTTCCCTCTGCCTTCTCTTTTTTCCCCCTTTTCCTTTGTCTCTCTCCTCCCCTTCTTTTTCTACTCCTCTCTCTACACCTTCCTCTCTAACAACATTGTTTAGATTAGCTTGATGAATATCCCCCAACCTCCCTACAGAAACAATACCTGTGTATTTTCTCCATTTACCTCTTTGAGTCCCGGGGGTTTAGTATCAGAGGCCTAAGGGTAGCCAGGAGAGACGTCAAATTTGCATATCTTGTGTTCATTGGACTTCCTGGTAGGAACTTGTGAATGTGTGATGCGCCCCCTGGGACTCAAAGAGTTAAGGCATACGTGATTGTTGTTAGTGATATTTTTGTTTTTTGTCTTTCAGGTCGTCACAACTTATACACTGAGTACGGGATGCCCTCCAGCCATGCTCAGTTCATGTGGTTCTTCTCTTCGTACTTTACTTTGTTTTTGTTAGTGAGGTAATTATTTTATATCCCACCTAAAATTGTTCAGGTTGTGCCAGTTTGTTTTTGTTAGTGAGGTAATTATTTTGTCTCAACCAGCTTTGTTCTGGTCGTGTCACAGTTTGTTTATGTTAGTGAGGTAATTATTTTGTCTCACATAAATTTGTTCCGGTCGGCACATAATACGCAGGATCTTTAGAACAGATTTGCATGCAACACTGGAGTTCTGGAACGGGATCAGAGTTCAGACACAGACATCTCCCTATGTGGGTTCCGGGGTCCTATTGTGGGGAGAAAAAGAATAAACACCCCCCACCCCCAAACAGGTGTGCACCCTTTTGGTCAGCCTACAAATAAGTCAGATTTATGAGACAGATGCACATAAAAAAAAGACTCTGGTACAAGACCCAGTCCTGAAGTAGACAAAACAATCAGAACTTTCCGATGCAGTTTATAGCCTATGAATGCTATAAAGAAGAAGGCACAGACTTTCAGTCAAAAATTTGCAGCTGATAAATAGACAAGAAGAAGTTGTGAAGATAAGATTGTTAGTATAATTTATTGGTACTCTTTTTTTAAATGCAGGTTGTACAGAAACCAGTCGTTGATAGATGACCTTTGGAAGTGTGTGAGCGCTGCTCTCAGTGTGTTCATGGCTCTTCTAGTCTCATGGAGCAGGTAATGCTGGGGGATTGTGCGTAAGTGTCGATATGCCAGGTGAATCAGTGTGCTTGTTGGTGTGTATGTATGGGGTGGTGTATATGTGTGTTGGTCACTGAGTGGGGGGGGGTGGGGGGGGGGGGTGTTTGTGGCTTGGTGTAGGGTGCAAGAGCGGGAGACCTTCACAATCTATAGACCTTAGATTAATGAGGTCTTTCCCTCTTCTGACCATTCAGCTTTTATGAACTACAATGGCAGTTTCTCACTGTTCACCCATTTTTGGTCTTTGGTCTTGTTCCAGAACTTGAGTCTTGCAGGCACATCCGTTTTACTGGTCTGGCTTTTTGTTTGTTTGCAGACTGTAGAGAAAAAGAAAAGGAAGGGAAAAGCTACCTAATGAATTTCCTTGACTTAATATATGAATGGTTTTATTTTCCATGGAACCCACATAGGGAAAAGGGGGGGTGGGGGAGAGAAGAAAAGACACGCTGTATTCCTAACAAGCATGTTGTAACGGAAGGTTAATTAAGGTTTTTCCTCTGAAGTCTGAGCTTATCTGCTTGAGTAGTTGAGGAACCAACAGCCTGCACGGAAAGTAGGTTTATTTTCTATTTATACAAAAAAGTTAGATATGTAAAATGAATATCTCTGTAAAACGGATGTGCACACAAAACTTCGGTTCCAGAAGTAAACAAATAACCATGACTTTGCACATAATTTACTGCCGGTGAACGCTAAAAAAAAAAGACGAGTTTCATTGTTTTTATTGTTTGACATTGTTTTTATTGTTTGACATTGTTTTTATTGTTTGACATTGTTTTTATTGTTTGACATTGTTTTTATTGTTTGACATTGTTTTTATTGTTTGACATTGTTTTTATTGTTTGACATTGTTTTTATTGTTTTTATTGTTTGACATTGTTTTTATTGTTTGACATTGTTTTTATTGTTTGACATTGTTTTTATTGTTTGTAAAATGCTAAACGCCATGGTGGTGGGGAGAGAGAACTGTGATGTAAAATGCTAAATGCCATGGTGGTGGGGAGAAGAATGTAAAAAACGCCATGGTGGTGGGGAGAGAGAACTGTGATGTAAAATGCTAAACGCCATGGTGGTGGGGAGAGAGAACTGTGATGTAAAATGCTAAACGCGATGGTGGTGGGGAGAGAGAACTGTGATGTAAAATGCTAAACACCATGGTGGTGGCAGAGAGGGGAGTAAAAGCTAAATGCCATGTGTGGGGGAGAGAGAACTGTGATGTAAAATGCTAAACGCCATGGTGGTGGGGAGAGAACTGTGATGTAAAATGCTAAACGCCATGGTGGTGGGGAGAGAGAACTGTGATGTAAAATGCTAAACGCCATGGTGGTGGGGAGAGAGAACTGTGATGTAAAATGCTAAACGCCATGGTGGTGGAGAGAGAACTGTGATGTAAAATGCTAAACGCCATGGTGGTGGGGGGAAGAGAGAACTGTGATGGAGAAAATGCTAAACGCCATGGTGGTGGGGAGAGAGAACTGTGATGTAAAATGCTAAACGCCATGGTGGTGGGGAGAGAACTGTGATGTAAAATGCTAAACGCATGGTGGTGGGGAGAGAGAACTGTGATGTAAAATGCTAAACGCCATGGTGGTGGGGAGAGAACTGTGATGTAAAATGCTAAATGCCATGGTGGTGGGGAGAGAACTGTGATGTAAAATGCTAAACGCCATGGTGGTGGGGAGAGAACTGTGATGTAAAATGCTAAACGCCATGATGGTGGGGAGAGAACTGTGATTATGGAGGAGACAGTTTCCGGAAAATGAAGTGGAAGATGACCTCTGCGAAGGTGGATACAAAACACTGAATATGCATTGGCTGTAAGAGCACATAGAGCTGGAGAATTGCCTAGAGAAAGAGAGACCTTCAGGCGTGTCGTGACGAGAACGACGTTCTGTAAAGAACATGGTGGTTGATGATGAACTTGTTCTTGATCTATGTCCCCACAGGGTTTACCTGCGCTACCACTCAATTAGTCAAGTTCTATGTGGCGGTTTTCTAGGTTGTCTTCTGGGTGTCTTGTGGTTCGGGACCGTGCATTTCGTCTTGACGCCCTTCTTCCCAATTATATCCAACAGGTTTGTATTAACATCTTGTGTTTGTTTGTTTGTTGTTTCAGGTGGATGTTGTTATAGAGTTTCTTGTATGGATTACTCATGTCTGCTGAATTTGTTAGACACCTGTTTTGTGTGTGGTCCAAATGAAGGTCAGAACAAGAAGTAGAACTAGTAATGGTCGTTAGTCAAAATTGCAGCATAGCAAACTTATTTTTATTAAAGTCCATGCCGTGTGACGTTGGTAGTCATGTCTATCCACAACCTTCTGTCTCGTGTACTTTCAGTCAGCTCTGACATAGAGATGCCACGATGTCAAACTGTCCAGCATCTTTTCTCTTGGTCTCCCTCTGCCTCTCCAGCTTTCACAGTGTACTCCAGTTTTCTCCTCGTCATCACATGGCCAACGAATGTAAATTGTCTCTTTCTGCTTTGGGCAGTCAGTTGTCTTCAAACTACTGAACATAGAATTGCCTAGTAAAACCAGAACAGCCAACAAATGCCGGGGGTTAGCTCTGCAGTGTCCTGCAAATCAGGTGTAGTTAGCTGGCGGCCCACGGGTGACATCTGGCCTGCAGATGCTTAGCAAGTGGTGTGCGGATTGTTGCCAGTCGTATTCAGTATATTAATGGTAAATGCCCTTTGGGAACAAGCAGTGGAATCAGCAGAGAAACAAGATTATTATCTCCTGGAGAGAATGAGGCACCTGGGTGTAACCAGAGGGCCTGGCCGGCTCACTACACTCAGAGGAAAGGCAAGATGGACATATAAACAGATTGTGACTGGAACCATTAGTATTGGATAAGCTTTTCACCCATGCGTTTGAGGGGCGGGCTGATGAGAGCCACAAGGACACTACACCTCTGGGGGCCGCCAACTCCGGATATTCCCTGACAACTTTGTTAATGCTCATTTGAGACATTATCCGTGGCGCACGGTGAGGACGTGCTGCAGAAGTCTTGCGTGAGGTTCCGTAAAACCAGAACAGTGCAGGACTGGCGCTCGAATGACGTACGGAGTAAATCCTTATACACATCACGTTGGACTTAACTTTACCTCACGCCTGTGACAGAATTCACCGTGCCACTTCCAGCCTTGTTAAGTGACACGTAAAATAATTTTTTTTTAAAAATCTACATAGTACATATAAAACTACCTTTCACTCATTCAAACTTTTTTGAAAGATGTAAAATTCTATTTTTTTTTATTCACCCAGCCCTGTTGCTGAGATGTTAATCTATATTTACTATTCACCCAGCACTGTTGCTGAGATGTTAATCTATATTTTCTGTTGTCAGCACTGTTGCTGAGAAGTTAATCTATATTCTCTGTTCACCCAGCAGTGTTGCTGAGATGTCAATCTATTTTCTGTTTTCTGTTTATCCAGCCCAGTTGGCGAGATTCTAATGGTGCGAGACTCTACTTTGATTCCTCATGTCATGTGGTTTGAGTACACCTGCTCAAGGTCCGAGGCCAGGTAAGAGTATTCTCCCATTTCCAGAGAGTCAACAACAACAATTAAATCGTTTAAATCACGACAGTTCATCATTTAAATCACAACAATAAATCATTTAAACAACAACAGTTCATCATTTCAGTAGTGATAGGTAATCATTTAAACAACAGTAAATCATTTCAATAGTAATAATTAATCATTTAAACAACAACAGGAAATTATTTCAACGGTGACAATTAATCATTTAAAGAACGGCTGTTAATCATTTAAATAGTGACAGTTAATCATTTAAACAACAACAGTAATTTCACTGGTAACAGTTAATCATTTAAACGACAGTTAATCATTTTAATAGTGACAATTAATCATTTAAACAACAACAGTTAATCATTTCAATAGTGACAGATAATCATTTAAACAAACCCAGTTAATCATTTCAATAGTGACAATTAATCATTTAAACAACAACAGTTAATCATTTCAGTAATGGCAATTAATCATTTAAATTACAACAGTTAATATTTCAGTAGTGACACTTAATCATTTAAACGACAGTTAATCATTTCAGCAATGGCAATCAATCATGATGATGCTTTATCTTGTGCAGGAGCCGTCAGCGGAAAATGTCCTCCCGGAAGTCACAATGATGGCACGCCCCCTGGCGATGACCTTGAGAAGTGCTAAAGACAGTACGGACCCAAACCAAGCACCTGTGATAGACTCTCCACCTTCATTGGTCAGCCAGGATGGACTGCTGGTCATTTTGACAAGTACACTTCTGCCGAATCGTGTTGTCTTCTTTCAACATATGCACGCTTTTGTTTTTTCAACATGTGGTTTTGGTATTTGCTGATTGAATTTTAGTTTGCTTTGAATTCTTTTCTTATCAAATCTTAAATGTGTGTTTGTGTGTGAGCCCAAAATAAAAAGACTATATGTGTCTGGGGGTAGATGAGGAAAGACTGTTCTTAGTGCAGGGTAGAAGAGGAAAGACTCAACAAGACTATAAGGTACTTCTACATCCCAGGGTAGAAGAGGAAAGACTAAGCAATACTGTAAGGTATCTCTACACCACAGGGAAGAAGAGGAAAGACTAATCAATACTGTAAGGTACCTCTTCATCCTAGGAAAGAAGAAGAAAGACAAGACTCAAGGTACTTCTACATCCCAGAGAAGAAGAGGAGAGACAAAACAAGACTAAGGTGCTTCTACATCCCAGGGTAGAAGAGGAAAGACAAGACAAGACTAAGGTACTTCTACATCCCAGGGTAGAAGAAGAGAGATTAAACAAGACTGTAAGGTACCTCTACATCCCAGGGTAGAAGGGGAAAGACAAGACAAGACTAAGGTACCTCTACATCCCAGGGTAGAAGAGGAGAGACTAAACAACACTGTAAGGTACCTCTACATCCCAGGGTAGAAGGGTAAAGACAAAATAGGACTGCAAAATACCTTCACATTCCAAGATAAAAGACTATGCTATAGTGTTACCTCTTCATTCTGTAGAAGATGAAAGCTTCACCAAGATTATATGGTACCTTTGCCTCCCAGGGTAAAAGAGTTGTAAAACAAATTTCCGGTAGTGAGGATAAAATACATCCAACAATTGAAACAGACTGCTTCTGCTGCGAAACTGCCATGTAGTTTGGTGTTATTTTCTTCAAGAATGTTTAATTTATGTGAGAGTATCTTTAAATTTCTATTTTTATAAATGAATCCTTATATTTTTCAACAAATGTCCACATGGTAACATTAAAGATTGTCAGATGCGACTCCATTGCCACCAAGAGTATTCGCTTGAGCACCATTGTTGTCAACACCTGCCCTTAACTTTCGTATCAGGTATCGTCTGCAGAGCCTAGGAAGCCATTTTGCAGTCGAGTTATTTCAGTGATTTTTCAATTTTTTGGAAAGATCTTGCACACTGCAAGTTGTGAGTTTGCTTCTTAAAGACAGTACAAGATGATTGATTCAACTTTGCTATTTTCTTTCTCTTTGTGGCATAAGGGTTAATGACATTGTTTCATAGTTATGCCACACAAGGGTTTTAAGCCTGCTGCAGGTAGTTTGGCAGCAGGTTGCTTTGCACTCTGTTGGCAATGGATAGGCGTACAATTATTCACAAAGCTGTGGCAAACTACTGAATGCAAAATTGCTCAGTAAAACCACAAATAACCAACAAATGTTGGGGTTGGTTTGAATCTGCGATAAAGGAAATGCAACTAAGCGTTGTCTTCAACTGTTGCCATTTTAGAGCTTAGTTTGTTGAGCCCACAGGCCGAATGAAAACTCAGGAGACCTAAGTGCTGGAGACAAAAGTATTAAGAGGAGGGTTGAAACAGCATCTTTCTTATCTTGGGAACTGAAATATTGTAGCCATAGCAAGCACTATGGTGAATTGAAAAAAAAAAAAAGGCAGAAGGGACGGTACCAGGAAGGAAGGGCAGGGGTCTACCAAAATGAAGGTGGGCACAGGATATAAGTGACACTTTAGATATGAAAGTGCATGAGGCGGGAGAGCTGGTGAGAGACCCGGTTCCTTTGAGGCAGACCGTGATGAGAGTGACATTCTGCAAAGGACCTGCTACATGATGATGATGATATTAAAAGTTTAGTTAATGCTCAATTTGTTGAGACCTTCAAACTGCAGAACGGTTTTTTTTTTAGAGGTAGGGTTGACTGATCATCTGTTTGTTTGTCTATTTGTGTTCACCGGCTGTAAAGTCCGGATTGTTTGTACTTTAGGATTTTGTTCTTGCTTCAGTACTTGGATTTTGCGTGCACATCCATTTGACACTTATAGCCTGTTTGTGTGCAGACTTCTGATTCAGTGCCTTTCAGGCAGATGCTCTCCGTTTTTGTTTAAGGAGACCTTGATCCTGTCTACATTGGCCAGGCTCCCTGTTTGGGAGGGGGGGGGGGGGGTGTTCTGTTTCTTAGATGACTGCGGAGAGGTGGAGGCAGGTCTTGACCAGTATGAACCTTGGTCCTGGTGCACATCTGGCAAACAGGCACTGAAATAGGACATACAGGCAGGAAATTGATATTAGATTATGTTATAGGATTTATTAAAAAAAAGAATTCCATGAGTTCTGGACAGGCACTGAAATGGCAAATTTGGGGCCGCATTAGCACAGTGGATAGGAGACTCGCTTTCAAATCCAGCTGCGACTCGCTGCAGCTCACGGCCGGTGTTCAAAACCGGGCGGTTCCCAGGGTTCACCCAGCCTCTAGGAAATGGGTACCAGAGTTGACACTCTGGGGGAAATAGAGAAACGTCGCTGTAGCTACGGAGTTACGTGCGGATGGCGAAACAGGCGGACAATTTCTTATCAGTTGTCCGTACTGGTGGCAGAGCACTTATGGTTTATAACCGTGTGCAATGACATTGGTTTACCTCTCCCGACTTTACCTTTACCTTTTACTGAAATGGGAAATACAAGGATAAAGGAAACTCCCTGCGTGGGTTTCCTTCGCACCATTATGGGGAAGCCAAGAATAGACCTACTACCTTCCCAACAGTCATGTCGTAAGAGTCGACTAAATGGGAGCTTCCTTCCAAGTTGGGAGTACATATGCCTGAGAGTCAAGGAACCAACAATCTGCATGCAGACTTGTGAAAAGTATCTGCACGCAACACTGAGTTTCTAGAACAGGACTAGAGTCCAGAAGTGGACGAACAAGCAGAATTTTCCACCGGAGTTTACAGCAAGTGAATGCGAAGCAGTAAAATGTTAAGGAAGTGAGGGCATCCAATAGAAACCCTAAAACGAACAGTGAGAGGGGCGAAAGGTGCCGGACTACATCCTTAGTAGAATTATAAGAAGAGGATATTGACAGAAAATCGGGAGATGCCAAAGGATAGGAGGGCTTGGCATAAGACTGTTGATCCCCTATGCTCTAGTGGGAGATTAAGGCAGCAGTGGGAGAATTACCAAGTCTTCTTTGTTTTGAAACATCATGTGTTAGTGATATATTTACCTTCAAGATGAATAATTTGTTTCCTTTCCATTTCCAGTTTTGTTTTTTTCTCAGTAAACTTTCCATTTTGTCTGTTCGTAGAGATGTTTACTAGCATTTTAATGTTTATTTTAAATACATTTTATGTCTACAGATGTGATTTATGAATTCCTATTTTGATGGTCTTTGATGTATGGAGGTGATATTTCCGACTATTTGTTTTGTCTCGTTGTTGGGTGTTTTTTTCAGTAATTTGCCTTGTTTGAGTGTTGTGTCTGTCAGTTTAAGGTATTTTAGTGTCCTGTGTACATAGTTCGTGGACAGTAGACTACAGAATTCTGTGATTGTAGCAAGTGTTATTTCTTTAATGTTTTGTAAATGTATAGTTTATGCTTTGTGTTTGAGAGAGGGAGGAAGACAATAGCAACATTAATGTAACATAGGAAAGCTTGCAGACGGAAAGTATTTTTACATTTAATTATGAAAGCTGATAAAGAGTACACATTGATTAATGAACATTTAGACAAAGTATATTTACATTTATTTATGAAAGCTCAACTAAGAGAGAGAAAATATTTACGTGTATTTGTGAAAGCTTACAGAGATAGTTTATTTAGTTATTTATGAAAGTTAAGATAGAGAGTATATTTAAGTTTGTTTATGAAACCTTAGCATGCACAAGAGAGAGAGAGAGAGAGAGAGAGAGAGAGCAAATAAAAGTTTAGAGAGAAAGAGATAGAGCAATTGAAAGTTTAGAAAGAGAGAGAGAGAGTATATTTATCTTTATTTATGAATGCTTGGATTGAGAGAGAGAGTATTTACATTTATTTATGAATGCTTGGATTGAGCAGAGAGTATTTACATTTATTTATGAATGCTTGGATTGAGAGAGAGAGTATTTACATTTATTTATGAAAGTTTGGAAGAAGAGAGTATATTTACATTTATTTATTAAATCTTAGACGGAGAAAGTATATTGACATTTAATTATGAAAGCTTTTAGAGAGAGAGAGAGAGAAAAAATAATTATGTCTATTTATGAAAGCTTGGACAGAGAGAGAGAGTATATTTACATTTATTTATGAAAGCTTGGAAAGAGATAGAATACATTTATTTATAAAAGCTTAGAGAGAGAGAGAGAGAGAGAGAGTTTACTTACATTTATGAAAGCTTGTAGAGAATTTTTATATTTATATTTTTGAAAGCTCAGCCAAAAATAGAGTACATTTACATTTAGGAAAGCTTGGAGAGAATTAGTATATTTAAATTTTTGAAAGCTTGGAGAAAGGCATTTATTTATGAAAGTTTCTTTGGAAAGCTTAAGCAGCGAGTATATTGGCCAAAGGTGCTGGACTGGATTGCATACATGATATCGAACGGATTACACAGGATAGAGTGAAATAGAGGAGTTGACTGTAAGCCCTATGTGACATACAGTGAATCTGCAGTTCACAACACAAACCACTTTAGGCACGGTAAAAAAGCATTCCAAATGAAATCATACCGCTCAGTGTCGCGCCGTGCATTCAGCTCAGTATTTGGGTGACAGAGCTGTATCTTTTCTGTCTACATGTAGAGGTAAATACAATGAACTATGGTCGGGAGCAAAAACCTGCCACGACTAAAGACAATTAATCTCCCTATCCACCATATTGACAGGAAAGATGAAGAGAATGAAAAGGCTAGG